GTATCTGAAAATCTACTTCATAGCCCGCCAATGTGTTTTACTCGGGCGAGACATATATCTGCTAACCACACTAACTACTTGTGAAATATTTGAACAAATACAAACCATTGCATACATAATACTACCGATGTCACTAGAATATGGAACTTGCACCATATATTCTTCCTCTTCAACTGACTATGGTGACTAAGCAGTAGATAGCCAAAAATGGCTATCAAGAGGAGTACTCACTAGCTTAGCATTTTTCATGCCAAACCTCTCTAAGACTTTCTCGATGTAATTTTTCTGGAACAGAAATAATTTTCCAACTCCTCATTCTCTTTTGATCTCCATGCCAAGAATTTTCTTAGCTGCTTCCAAATCTTTCATTTCAAATTCACTACTCAGCTACATTTTCAAAGTGTGATTTTTTGATAAATTCTTAGTTATAATAAGCATGTCATCAACATAAAGCAACAAATACACAAAAGAGCCATCAGTTAACTTCCGAAAGTAGACACAACTATCATACATGCTCCTCGTGTAACCATGACCCAACATAAAAAAATCAAACCTCTTATACCACTGTCTTAAAGACTGCTTCAATCTGTACAAGGAATTCTTTAACAAGCAAACATGTTCTTCCTTACCGTCAACTTCAAATCCATGAGGTTGCTCCATATAAATTTGTTCTTCAAGTTTACCATATAAGAAAGCTGTCTTGACATCAAGTTGCTCCAATTCCAAATTATACATGGCAACTAAAGTAAGCAAAACACGAATAGAGCTATGTTTAACAACAGGTGAAAATATGTTATTAAAATTAACACTATGTACCTGACTATAGCCCTTTGCAACCAATCGTGCTTTGTACCTTGCATCTTCAACCCTTGGAATACCTTCCTTCCTTTTGAAGACTCATTTGCATTCAACAATTTTCTTACCCGAAGGCGGCTTCATAAGATCCCAAGTTTTATTATTATGGAGAGATTCAATTTCTTCATTCATCGCAATTAACCACTTAGCAGAATTATCATAAGAAACTGCATCCGAGTAGGTAGTAGGCTCACCAACTTCACTTGTTTATTCTGTAACAAACAAAGCATATGCAACCAAATTTGCATATCTTTGTAGTGGTCGAATATCTCTCCGTGGTCTATCCTTGGCTATGGAATATTATTCTTCCTCTGGATCATCTTCGTCAGTAGACTCGAGACCATCTACTGGCATTCTTTAAGTAGAAAAGTTCGATTGAAAAGAATCCGAACTACCAATCTCAAGCTCCACCTGCTTCTGCGCACTATCATTTGTACAACTAGTAGATTCCTCTTTGGAAGATAACATAGATAATTCATCAAAAGTAACATATCTACTGATTATAAATTTTGAGAATTTGTGATCAGAACACCATAATTTGTATCCTTTCACCCCAGAAGCATACCCAAGGAAAATGCACCATAATCAGCAGGAATACCTGACCAAACTTCTTCCGGAGTTTTAAAATTAAGTGTTGTAGAAGGAGTGCGATTGACAACATAACATGCCATATTAATCGCCTCTGCCCAAAAGTCCTTTGTCAACCTTGAGATCAAACACCTTGATCTCTCCAAGAGTGTTTTGTTCATACCGGCCACACCATTTTGCTGAGGCGTCATCCTAATAGTGCAATGTCGAACAATTCCTGCAATTAAAGTCACTTTTACAAAATTCCATGTCATTATCTGTTCGAAGCCACTTAATCTATTTACTTGTTTGCTTCTCAATCAAAGCCTTCCATTATTTAAAGGTTAGAAAAATATCATTTTTATGCTTCAGAAAATAAACCCAGACTTTCCTGGAATAATCGTCAATGAAAGTCAACATATACCTAGCACCACCCTTAGACTGAACACAAGCTGGACCCCAAAGGTCTGAATGAATATAGTCAAGAGTACCTTTCATTTTGTGAACTACTGGAGAATTGAAGCTGATTCTTTTCTGCTTTCCAAAAATGTAGTGTTAACAGAAATCCAGTGGCCCAGTACTCTGTTCGCAAAGAAGACCCCTTTTGCTCAATATGCTCAAACCTTTTTCGCTCATATGACCCAAACGCATATGCCATAATTTGGTGATGTTAGAATCAGACAATGATGATGATGAGACTGCAACTAAGCCTGTGACAATAGTTTCCTACAAAATATACAAGCTACCAAACCTACAAGCTTTCATAACAATAAGGGCACTTCTAGAAACTTTCATAACTCTACCTTCAGTTGCGTATTTACACCCAAGAGCCTCTAGGGTGCCTAAAGAGATGAGTTTTTCTTTAAATCAGGAGTATGTCTAACATTGGTGAATGTCCTCACAATACCATCATGCATTTTAATTCGAATTGTGCCTCTACCAACAACATCACACGCAGTATTATTGCCCATCAAAACAATTCCACTATTACAAGATTCATACGTGGAAAACAAATCTTTATTGAGACACATGTGATAAGAACATCCCAAATATAAAATCCATTCATTTTTAGACCTCGTCCTGTCATCAGTAGCAAAGAAAATATTTCCAACATTCTCATCAGCTGCTACACTAGCTTCAACGAACTCAGTAGTTTTCTCAACAAATTTTTCCTTTTGCTTTAATTTATTTTTCAATTTAAAGCAATCAGCCTTAATGTGCCTCATTTTATGACAATATCTGCACTCCAAATTTCTATGTTTGGATTTAGATCTAGATTTAGATCTACTATTGTCAAATTCCCTTTTATCCGCTCTATCTCTAACAACCAGACCCTCAGCTTGATTCACTATACTTTCCCAGTGATATCCCTATCTATTTACTTATTAGATTTTAGTACAGATTTAATTTCCTGATACAAAATTGTTTCTTTTCCATAAATCATAGTATCACGGAAATATTTAAAGGATTGAGGAAGAGAACACAAAAGTAACAGTGCTTTATCCTCGTCATCAATTTTCGCATCTATATTCTCCAAATCCATAACTAAGGAATCAAATTTATCAAGATATGAGAGTATAGATGTACCTTCAGTCATCCAAAGCATATATAAACTCTGCTTCAAGTAGAGACGATTCTCCACTGTCTTCTTCGTGTACAAGGCTTTAAGCTTGTCCCACATGCTCTTAGCCGTAGTCTCCGTAGCTACCTCCCGTAAAACATCGTCAGAGAGATTTATAATAACGCTTGATCGTGCCTTCTTATCCATAACCATAAGATCTTCCTTTAATGTATCATATGAAATGTTCTCAATTCTCTATAGTGCCAAATCAACTCCGTCTTGAACTAGAATGGTCTCCATCTTGAGCTGCCACATGCCGAAGTTGACATTTCTGTCAAATTTCTCAACAACGATCTTTGTTATTATCATCGTTGTCAAAAGATCCCGAAACTAGGCTTTAATACTAGTTTGTTAAAGTTGACCCCAGGAAATTTACTAAAAGGTAATTTGGTAACCTAATAAAAATAATAAAGCAGAAAAATAAAAGAGACAAGGACATCATATTTACATGGTTCGATCAATTGACCTACATCACGGACAAAGGAGGAGCAAATAACTACTATAAAAAGGATAATTACAAATACTTTAGAAAAATGTTCCTAGGCCATAAAATACATGAAACTATTAAATAAAAAAAGTCCATAGCAAACAATTAGATTTTTTTATGGTACGTCTGACTTCACGGCCCAGACCCTTATTTATAGTTGTAATAAGAGATAATGATTTTACCGGAACTTCCAAACTAACATATCAACACAACTGCTCCTTTCCGAAGTGTTGAATCATTCCGGGTGTCGGAGGCTTAATGAGTTCCTGTTTCCACAGGGCAGCAGTTCGGCATCTGTGGATCACAACTTGCCTCTTTGAATCAAAGTTTCCGGATTGACAAAGAGGGGTCGACTCTAAGAGGTCGGCGAGAGGCAAAGAAACGGAGGAGCAGGGGAGGACTCTGCGATCACGCGGTTTTGGCTCGGTCCTTTACTTCCATGGCGTGGAACTCCCATTTGCTGCAACTCCTCGTTACAAATAGCCTTCTTGACTGACTATGAACAGTCCACGTGATGCCTTTAGAAACCGTGACATTCCCTTTGGAATCAGTCAATATGGTCATGATCAAGACTGTCAATGAGCAATTCGAATGCCAGTTTTCTCATTCCATCATTTCGATTCCCTTTCGTATTTGACGGATTCAACATTTCACTGATCCATTATGCTCATTCGTAGAAGACTTCCTATCATGTTGGAGAAAGAGAAGGCTAGTACGCTGTCCACCTGAGGCTCACCTCATGCAAAATGACTACGATGTTGCCCAAGGCAACTGTCTCCCACAGCTTCCCAATCATGCGTTCTATGCCCAGTGATGCTGCCTCAAGATCAACACAAAGATGCTTGTTGCCGGGCTCCTAACATGGGATGCTGCTTCCACAAGCTATTCCTGTGTTAAGCTGTGAGGAAACAGAGTGATCGGATGAATCGCAGGAGACTTGTCGGTGAAGTGATAGGTTGCTGGGGAGGCAATGAAACATAAGCCACTCGTGTGTTACATTAAATACTATTATTAGGAGTCATAATTACAGACCTGCTGTTGGTTATTGACACATGACACGCTGTGGAAAGCCCTTAAAGAACGACACGACCAGATCATGAATCACTCTGCAGCTCGGGATCCAAGATCTGCTATTTCTTTTCTTCTGATCTTGTTCTGAAGGAACTCGAGATCCAATTTGGCATCACATGGAGAGAGAGAGAGAGAGAGAGAGAGAGAGAGATGATTAGTCTAGGTAGCTGAGATGCTTGGTGTTTCCAATCATGGCGTTGGGTGGTGGTTTATAAGGAGAGGGAGCCAAAGACGGAAGT